TAGCCATGTATAAATATGTGAGAGGAAGCCACAGGGAGGAGGAGGGAGCAAGCTTGTTTTCTGCTTCCCTGGAGACTAGGATGCGGCACAATGGCTTCAAACTACAAGAAAGAAGATTCCATCTGAACATTAGGAAGAACTTCCTGACTGTGAGAGCCGTTCAGCAGTGGAACTCTCTGCCCCGGAGTGTGGTGTAGGCTCCTTTTTGGAAGCTTTTAAACAGAGGCTGGATGGCCATCTGTCAGGGGTGCTTTGAATGCAATATTCCTGCTTCTTGGCAGAATGGGGTGGGACTGGATGGCCCAGGATGTCTCTTCCAACTCTATGATTCTATGATTCTATGTGGTCTGACTAAGGCAGAATAGAGCATGGGTAGCATGACTTCCTTGGATCTAGGCACTATACTCCTCTTGGTGCAGGCCAAAATCCCATTGGCTTTTTTAGCTGCAGCATCACATTGTTGGCTCATGTTTAACTTGTTGTCCACAAGGACTTCTAGATCTTTTTCTCATTTACTGCTGTCAAGCCAGTTGTCCCCCGTTCTGTATCTTTGCTTTTCATTTTTTTTTCTACCTAAGTGGAGTATCTTGCATTTGCCACTGTTGAACTTCATTTTGTTACTTGGTTGTTGTAAGTTTTTCGGGCCATATGGCCATGTTCTAGAACAGTGTTTCTCAACCTTCCTAATGCTGTGACCCCTTAATACAGTTTCTCATGTTGTGGTGACCCCCAACCATACAATTATTTTTGTTGCTACTTCATAACTGTAATTTTGCTGCTGTTGTGGATCATAATGTAAATATTTGATATGCAGGATGCATTTTCATTCACTGGACCAAATTGGCACAAATACCCAATGCGCCCAAATTTGCATACTGGTGTGGTTGTGGGGGAGAGGTTGATTTTGTCATTTGGGAATTGTAGTTGCAGGGATTTATAGTTCACCTACAATCAAAGAGCATTCTGAACTCCACCAATGATGGAATTGAACCAAACTTCCCACACAGGACCCCCATGACCAACAGAAAATACAGGATGGGTTTGGTAGGCATTGACCTTGAGTTTTGGAGTTGTAGTTCACCTACATCCAGAGAGCACTGTGGACTCAAACAATGATTGATTAAGATCAAACGTGGCACGAATACTCAATATGCCCAAATGTGACCACTGGTGGAGTTTGGGGAAAATAGACCTTGACATTGGATGTTGCAGTTGCTCGGATTTATAGTTCACCTACAATCAAAGAGCATTCTGAACCCCACCAATGATAGAATTGGGACAAACTACCCCTATGACCAACAGAAAATCCTGTGTTTTCTGATGGTCTTTGGCACCCCTCTGACACCTCTCTCATGACCCTCTTAGGGGTCCCGATCCCCCAGGTTGAGAAACACTGTTCTAGAAGCTACATTCATTCTACAATGTAGATCAGGCCTGGGCAAACTTTGGCCCTTGGGTATTCATAGAATCATAGAATCAAAGAGTTGGAAGAGACCTCATGGGCCATCCAGTCCAACCCCCTGCCAAGAAGCAAGAATATTGCATTCAAATCACCCCTGACAGATGGCCATCCAGCCCCTGTTTAAAAGCTTCCAAAGAAGGAGCCTCCACCACCCTCTGGGGCAGAGAGTTCCACTGCTGAACGGCTCTCACAGTCAGGAAGTTCTTCCTCGTGTTCAGATGGAATCTTCTCTTGTAGTTTGAAGCCATTGTTCCATTGCGTCCTAGTCTCCAAGGAAGCAGAAAACAAGCTTGTGCCCTCCTCCCTGTGGCTTCCTCTCACATATTTATACATGGCTATCATATCTCCTCTCAGCCTCTCTTCTTCAGGCTAAACATGCCCAGCTCCTTAAGCCGCTCCTCATAGGGCTTGTTCTCCAGACCCTTGATCATTTTAGTCGCCCTCCTCTGGACACATTCCAGCTTGTCAATATCTCTCTTCAATTGTGGTGCCCAGAATTGGACACAATTCCAGGTGTGGTCTAACCAAAGCAGAATAGAGGGGTAGCATGACTTCCCTAGATCTAGACACTATACTCCTATTGATGAAGGCCAAAATCCCATTGGCTTTTTTTGCCGCCACATCACATTCCTGGCTCATGTTTAACTTGTTGTCCACGAGGACTCCCAGATCTTTTTCACACGTACTGCTCTCGAGCCAGGAATTGTCCCCCATTCTGTATCTTTGCATTTCGTTCTTCCTGCCAAAGTGGAGTATCTTGCATTTGTCCCTGTTGAACTCCATTTTGTTAGTTTTGGCCCATCTCTCTAATCTGTCAAGATCGTTTTGAATCCTGCTCCTGTCCTCTGGAGTATTGGCTATCCCTCCCAATTTGGTGTCGTCTGCAAACTTGATGATCCTGCCTTCTAGCCCTTCATCTAAGTCATTAATAAAGATGTTGAACAGGACCGGGCCCAGGACGGAACCCTGCAGCACTCCGCTCGTCACTTCTTTCCAGGATGAAGAGGAAGCATTGGTGAGCACCCTCTGGGTTCGTCCATTTAACCAATTACAGATCCACCTCACCGTAGTTTTGCCTAGCCCACATTGGACTAGTTTCCTTGCCAGAAGGTCATGGGGGACCTTGTCGAAGGCCTTACTGAAATCCAGGTACGCTACATCCACGGCATTCCCCGCATCTCCCCAGCTTGTAGCTCTATCGAAGAAAGAGATCAGATTAGTCTGGCATGACTTGTTTTTGATAAATCCATGTTGACTATTAGCGATGACTGCATTTGTTTCTAAGTGTTTGCAGACCGCTTCCTTAACAATCTTTTCCAGAATCTTGCCTGGTATCGACGTGAGGCTGACCGGACGGTAGTTGTTTGGGTCATCCTTTTTTCCCTTCTTGAAGATTGGGACCACATTTTGTTAGTTTTGGCCCATTGGCCCATCGCTCTAATGTGTTAAGATCGTTTTGAATTCAGCTCCTGTCTTCTGGAGCATAGAAGGCTAAAGACCTTGGAAAACTACAACTCCCAGGATTCCGTTGCATTTTGCCACAGCAGTTAAAGTGGCATCAAACTGCATTAATTCTGCAGCATTCAGCTATCGGTCCCCGGGTCAGCAGAGCTGATGAAAACCAACACCCGAAGGCATTCCTTAGCCCACTGAGCCGAAAGCCTTCATTTACAAGTATTGATTTTAATCCTTTCTGTTTCCTCGAGTGCATCACTTATTCCCCAAAGAATGGCAAATAGTGATTTGTTGATATAACCATTAAAAACATGTTGATTTACAACCATGCCGAGTTTCCCTGTGGTTTTTAGTGTGTCTTCGCTTCTGTCTATGGCAGCGCACTGTCGCTATATGCATTTATTTGAGCAATTATGGATTTTTCCCCCTCTCCCTTTCTTTCCTGGTTGTGTGTGTGTGTGAATGTATAAACGAGGCATTTTTTTTACTGCTTTAGAAAAACTCAGGATGGTAAATTGCTTATTGTTCAAAATAGCTCTGCCCCTGGTTTTTGTGCAGGAGAAGAGATAAAATAGAAGTCGGGAAAAGCGCTCTCGCCAGAAAAGAAAAGAGGAAAAAAGCGATAGAAAGCTGAGAAATCAATCTTGCAATAAGCTTTTTTTTTTTTTGTAAGGCACTCAAGTTCCGCTTCCAAAATTCATCCATACTTCATCCTGTTCACATGGATTTCCCAACTGTAATTGAGCCCTGGTAGACTTTGGTTGCGTCTGCACTGTAGAATTAGCGCAGTTTGGCACCACTATAACTGCTAAGGCTCAGTGTTATGGAATATTGGAAGTTGCAGTTTTGCAAGGTCTTGAGCCTTCTCTACCAAAGAAGGCTGGTGCCTCGTGAAACTGCAACTCCCAGGATCCCATAGCATTGCGCCATGGCAGTTCAGTTGGTGCCAAACTGCATTCATTCTACAATGTAGATCAGGCATGGGCAAAATGGAAAAATTACACTGCTTAGCCGGTATTGCACCACCTGACATCTGCCAGGAAGTAGCAGCCAATAGTGAAAGGACCAAGGCAGAGACATCTCCAGCTCATCCCCTGTTTGGGTATCAGCCAGCACGTCAATTACTTAAATCTAGAAATAGTTTTCTAAGATCTACAGAGACACTCGCTGGAACACCTCAGCAAGCAAGAGTCCAAAAGTGGCAGGCTCAAACCCATCACCTCAACCAATGGCTGATACCAAATGAGAGGCTCCCTCCTGGGCACACAGAGGACTGGGCGACTTGGAAGGCACTGAACAGACTGCGTTCTGGCACCCCGAGATGCAGAGCCAACCTCAAGAAATGGGGCCACAAAGTGGAATCCATGACATGCGAGTGTGGAGAGGAGCAAACCACTGACCACCTGCTGCAATGCAACCTGAGCCCTGCACAATGGAGGACCTTCTTGCGGCAACACCAGAAGCACTCCAAGTGGCCAGATACTGGTCAAAGGACATTTAACCAACTACCAAACTCATACATTCTGTATTCTGTATTTTGTATTTTTGTATTTTGTCTGTTTGTTTGCTTTGTTCTGTTAGAAATGTAATATAATTGACTGGTTGCTGATGACTCGATAAATAAATAAATATGGGCAAACTTCAGTCCTCTAGGTGTTTTGGACTTCAACTCCCACAATTCCTAACCACAAATACACATATTAAAACGTTTTTCTATAAAAGATACATATTAGCATATGATTTTATGAAGCCGCATTCACAACATGCTGCAGCTGTCCAGTCCGGAGGTTATGGGAACATGTTCAATGTTGGCCATGTTAAGTATGGGTGCATCTGCATCAGGCATGTGCAAACTTCAGCCCTCCAGGTGTTTTGGACTCCAACTCCCACAATTCCTAACAGCCAGTAGGTGTTTTGGACGTCAACTTTAGGTTTTTCAACATAGGCTGAATGGCCATCTGTCAGGAGGGTTTCGATTGTGTGTTCCTGCCTGAATAAGGTTGCATTGCATAACCCCTTTGGAGGATGTAGAAGAGAGATTTCCATTGTTGGAGTGACACCTGTTTCTTTTTTCCCCCATTAGGCATGAATGTCATGGAGAGCTCTCCGTACGAACCCTTTGTGCGGGGCTTCGACTACGTCCGGTTAGCTTCCATCACTGCAGGTAAGCCTGGATGACATTCTAAAACGAAATACTGTATGTTGTGTGCTTTCACATAATTTTAGACTTTTCTGAGGCTGAAAGAGTGTGACGTGCCTAAGGTCATCTCTGCGCAGGGATTTGAACTCTGGTCTCCCAAGTCATAATCAAGTGCTTAAAACATTGCCCCAATGTTGATGTATAAGCCAGAGTTAGACATCCTTGACTAATGCTGTACAATGTGTTCCCTGTGTAGAGAAAAATAATGTATTTTGTATGGAAAAATAGGTCTCCTTGCAGAAAATGTGTTTTTTGTGCATAATACTCAGAGTGCATTAACACTGAATGGGGTTTGATGCCACTTTAACTACTGTGATAGGAGCCCCCGGTGGCGCAGTGGGTTAAACCCCTGTGCCGGCAGGACTGAAGACCGACAGGTCACAGGTTCGAATCCGGGGAGAGGCGGATGAGCCCCCTCTATCAGCTCCAGCTCCTCATGTGGGGACATGAGAGAAGCCTCCCACAAGGATGATAAAACATCAAAAATCATCCGGGCGTCCCCTGGGCAACGTCCTTGCAGACGGCCAATTCTCTCACAACAGGATGCTCCTGACACGACAAAAAAAAAACTACTGTGATGCAATGGTTCTGGCCCAACTTACCTGTCGGAACACATCTCGCCTTACAAACCTTCCAGGACTTTAAGATCGTCTGGGGAGGCCCTGCTCTCGATCCCGCCCTCATCACAAGCACGGCTGGTGGGGACGAGAGACAGGGCCTTCTCAGTGGTGGCCCCTTGGCTATGGAACACCCTCTCTATCGATATTAGATCAGCCCCCTCCCTTTTAACATTTCAGAGAAAAATCAAGACTTGGCTTTTTGAGCAAGCGTTTGCAAGTACAGTGTAACTGACATAGGGAAATGGAACGATTAGGTGATGTGATTGTTATTATTAATTTATTAACTTTATTTATACCCCACAAAATCTCCCGAAGGACTTGATGCAGCTTTCAAAGGCCAAGGCCGCCAACAGATAATAGTATACAAACACACAATAAAACTCATAAGCAAATAAAAACATCAAGCAAAACAATAGAACATTAAAAACAATGTTTTCAAATTTTTTTAATTTATCGTGTCATCAGCAACCATTGTATTACAATTCTAACAGAGCAAAACAAACACACAGATTAAAAAGGAAAAGGGAAAAAAAACACAGAGATTTTGCAAACTTGGTAGTTGGTTAAATGTCCTTTGACCAGTATCTGGCCACTTGGAGTGCCTCTGGTGTTGCCGCAAGAAGGTCCTCCATTGTGCATGTGGCAGGGCTCAGGGTGCATTGCAGCAGGTGGTCAGTGGTTTGTTCTTCTCCGCACTCGCATGCCGTGGATTCCACCCTGTAGCCCCATTTCTGAAGGTTGGCTCTGCATCTCGTGGTGCCAGAGCGCAGTCTGTTCAGCGCCTTCCAAGTCGCCCAGTGTGCCCAGGGGGGAGTCTCTCATCTGGTATCACCCATGAATTGAGGTGCTGGGTTTGGGCCTGCCACTTTTGGACTCTCGCTTGCTGGGGTGTTCCAGCGAGTGTCTCTGTAGATCTAAGAAAACTATGTCTTGATTTAAGTCGTTGACGTGCTGGCTGATACCCAAACAGGGGATGAGCTGGAGATGTCTCTGCCTTGGTCCTTTCACTATTGGCTGCTACTTCCCGGCGGATGGCAGGTGGTGCAATACCGGCTAAGCAGTGTAATTTCTCCAGTGGTGTAAGGTGCAGAAACCCTGTGATAATGTGGCATGTCTCATTAAGAGCCACATCTACTGTTTTAGCGTGGTGAGATGTGTTCCACACAGAGTAGCATAGCGCAAGGGCAGATGTCTTCACTGTGTCTGGTTGTGATCCCCAGGTTGTGCCAGTCAGCTTTCGTATGATGTTGTTTCTAGCGCCCACTTTTTGCTTGATGTTCAGGCAGTGCTTCTTGTAGGTCAGAGCACGGTCCAAAGTGACTCCCAGGTATTTGGGTGTGTTGCAATGCTCCAGTGGGATTCCTTCCCAGGTAATCCTCAGAACCCGGGATGCTTGTCTGTTCTTAAGGTGAAAGGCACATGTCTGTGTTTTAGATGGATTAGGGATCAGTTGGTTTTCTCTGTAATAGGCAGTAAGAGCACCTAGAGCTTCGGAGAGCTTCTGTTCAACCATCTCAAAGCTCCCTGCTTGAGCAGTAATGGCACAATCATCAGCATAGATGAAACTCTCTGTCCCTTCTGGCAGTGGCTGGTCATTTGTGTAGATGTTGTGTAAATGTTTTCAATAAAGAGACACTAATGATATGTGTTTGTTATTGACTTTGCTATGGTTTTATAATATTTTAATTTTTTTAATTGTATTTTATGGTCTTTTTACCAACTGTGAACAGCCTCGAGTTGCCTGCGGGCTGAGAGGGATGGTATATATAGTAAGTAAGTAAGTAAGTAAGTAAATGCTATGGAACCCTGAGAGTTGTAGCTTTGCAATCCTAGGATCCCTTAGCATTGATTCATAGCCTTTATAATGGGTTTCAACTATGTTAATTCCAGTGTAGAGATGCGGCCAAAGTGTCTCCGTATAGATGAAACAGAAGTCACAATTGGGAACGGAACAGAAATCTGTGCATTCTCTTGGAAGCAAAAGCAGTGGGAATTCTTCCTTATTGCCTGCTAGGATAACAAACGCAAATATTTACATTCCCAGTGAGAGCCCAGCAAAGGTTCCTCAAGACTCCAAGCAAAGCACTTTTCAGTTTCCCGAGCTGTTCTATTTCTGGGCAGGCTGACAAAGGAGAATTAAGAAATATATTTCTCTTAACCTTTTTAAATCCCTAGCTAATTTTCCCAATGGTGGGAATGTATCGTTTTTAATGCGCCAATTTGTCTTTGGCCAAAGGCATGGGGGCCATTTCCTTTGACATGAAACAATCAGTAGTGGGTGGTAACTTCCTTGAGGTGCATCTACACTGTATTTATTTTATTTATCATATCAGAAGTGAACCAAGGGTACAGTTGGAATATATTTAAAAAACACAAAGTTTAAAAACTTTGCATTGTATTGAGTATGGAGAAACCACAGACCATGTATTTATTTATTTATTTATTTATTTATTTATTATTTATTATTTATCTCCGGCATTTCTATCATAGAATCATAGAATCATAGAAGAGACCTCATGGGCCATCCAGTCCAACCCAATTCTGCCAAGAAGCAGGAATATTGCATTCAAATCACCCCTGACAGATGGCCATCCAGCCTCTGTTTAAAAGCTTCCAAAGAAGGAGCCTCCACCACACTCCGGGGCAGAGAGTTCCACTGCTGAACAGCTCTCACATCCTTCTCAGCCCCCAAAGAGGGACTCAGCAACAATTCTATGCCATAAATACAAACAAACAACAATATAGCAATAGTTTAAAACAATTAGGTTTAAAGCAGTTAAAACATTTGTCAACACCATGAAGACAATCCATAATTTAGTCAAAACCATAAGCCATTCCAGTTCACTTCCATAATCAAGTGCTGCTATGTCTGCTGTCCAAAGACCTGGTCCCAGTACCATGATTTCAGGTTTTTTCCTGAAAGATAGGAGGGAAGAAGCCAACCTGATCTCGCTGGGGAGCGAGTTGCACAGGCGGGGGGCCACAGCTGAGAAGGTCCTGTCTCTTGTCCCCGCCAAACAAATTTGCAAAGCAGGCAGAGTTGAGAGCAGGGCCTTCCCGGATGATCTTAAACTGCAGGATGGGACGTAGAGGGAGATACGTTCTGACATGTAACTATTACAATGCAGTGTGAGCCCTACTGCATGCACAGTGGAGGATCTTCTTATAGCAACACCAGAGACACCCAAAGTGGCTACCTATTAGTCAAAGGATATCTACACTGTAGAATTAATACACTTTGATGCCACTTTAACTGTCATGGCTTAATGTGATGGAATCATCAGTTCCACAAGGTCTTTTGCCTTCTCTGCCAAAGAGTGCTGCTCACCAAACTACAAGTCCCATGATTCCATAGCATTAAGCCATGGCAATTAAAGAGATGTCAAACTATATTAATTCTATGTATTGTTGAAGGCTTTCATGGCTGGAATCACTGGGTTGTTGTAGGTTTTTTCGGGCTATATGGCCATGTTCTAGAGGCATTCTCTCCTGACGTTTCGCCTGCATCTATAGCAAGCATCCTCTGAGGATGCTTGCCATAGATGCAGGCAAAATGTCAGGAGAGGATGCCTCTAGAACATGGCCATATAGCCCAAAAAAACCTACAACAACCTATATTAATTCTGTAGTGTAGATGCTAGATAATCAAGGCAGTGTGGACACACCTCTTGTCAGTGGGTAAATCAATTCCAGCTTTGAGTCTCAACTTTAAAGGAGCTTTCCAAAGTGCTGAATCTGTTTGAACATAAGGCTACATTACTTCCATATTTTGAAATATTTGTAGCTACAGAATGAGCTGTTTTGGAGATGGGACCCAAATCTAACCATGAAATGTGCATATAGCCTAAAGATCATTTGTGAATACAGCATTTTAAATACTTTTGTGCATGGAACCAAGGGAGAGTACATTGTGTTATGGAAAGTCCCCAAAATAACAAGTATTTAAAAGACAAAGCTTGGCACAGCGGAGTGGTTTATTCACACAGCAGGAAACAACGGTGTGGCTGAAGGATTCTTGAGCTTAAAAACATTGAGCGGCAGAGCCTATCTTAAAGTTTCAAAAGGTTTATTAAAAACCATAAAGAACTGCATTTTCTAGATAGGAAGTTAGAGTCTGAGATATCTTACTAAATCGAAAACATGCAAATGTGAGTAGATCAATAGGTACCGCTCCGGTGGGAAGGTAACAGCACTCCATGCAATCATGCCGGCCACATGACCTTGGAGGTGTCTATGGACAATGCCAGCTCTTCGGCTTAGAAATTGAGATGAGCACCACACCCCAGAATCGGACACGGCTGGCCTTTACCTTAATCTTACATTCATGTTTAGGTAGAATTTCTTTTGCTGCAACTTGATATACAGTAGACTCTCAGTTAACCAGAACTCAAACAACCAGAACTCTCAAGCAACCGGCACAAAATCAAAGAAATCATGTTTTAAATAAAAAGCTGCTTTTATAACACATTAGATATTACAGCAAATTATTATTTTTAGTTGTATTTACATCCTGCTTCCCATCTCCCAAAGGAGATTCAAAGCAGCTAACACTGGAGTTAATACAAAGTTGATGATATTCCATAGTATGGGTTGTAGCAGGCATGGGCAAACTTGGGCCCTCCAGGTGTTTTGGACTTCGACTCCCACAATTCCTAACAGCCATGGGAGTTGAAGTCCAAAACACCTGGAGGGCCCAAGTTTGCCCATGTCTGCTTTAAGAGTTTTTCCAAGCTCTGAATTAGAATGGCTCCTTATCCTCCTTCTGCTTCTCCTTTTCCTTCTCGTTCCTTCTTTTACAGGCTCTGAAAATGAGGTGACACAAGTCAATCGCTGCTTGGATGCGGCCAAGGCCTGCAACGTGGACGAGATGTGCCAGCGCCTCCGGACAGAGTACGTCTCCTCCTGCATCCGGCGGGCAGCCAGAGTGGATACCTGCAACCGCTCCAAGTGCCATAAGGCCTTGCGGAAGTTCTTTGACCGCGTGCCCCCCGAATACACCCACGAGCTGCTCTTCTGTCCCTGCGAGGACACGGCCTGTGCGGAGCGGCGCCGGCAGACCATCGTCCCCACCTGCTCCTACGAGGCAAAGGAGAAGCCCAACTGCCTGGCCCCGCTGGACGCCTGCAAAGGGAACTACGTCTGCAGGTAACATGCATTCTCCATCTTTTGGAACAGATAAATACAGATAAATACAGGCAGTCCCCAATGTACAAACAAGTTGAATTGTTCTTAAGATGCATTTGTATGTAAGTCAGTACAGGGACATTTTTCAAGTGTAACTCCAGCCAAAACTACATGTTGTTGAAGGTTTTCATGGCTGCAATCATTGGCTTGCTGTGATATTTGTCGGGCTGTATGGCCATGTTTCAAAAGCATTCTCTCCAGATGTTTCATCTGCATCTATAGCTAGCATCTTCAGAGCTTTGTTCAGAGGTCTGTTGGAAATGAGGCAAGTGGAGTGTCTGTGGAGAACCCTTGTCTTTTAAAAGCAAGTGTGAATGTTGCACCAGGACTGTGGCAGAGCTGGCTGAGTGTCAGCTGCATTAAGATCACTTCTGTCCAAAAGGCCATGAGTTAAAAGCCAGCCCGGGTCAGAGTGAGCTTCCGACCAATTGCTTGTTGTCGACCTTTGCAACCCGAAAGACAGTTGGATCTGTCAAGTAGGAAAATTAGGTACCACCTATGTGTGGGGAGGCTAATTTAACTAATTTATGAGGCCATAAAAAGACTCCAGCAAGCACTCCAGCAAAAAGCATGTGGGGAATGCCGAAGTACTTCATCAGTGTCACAGATGGACGATGAAAGCGACAGCTCCCCTGGCGGCCAGAAAAAGTTAAATAGCCTCTGACTGTCTGTCTATATCTGTTGTGTGTCTTTGGCATTGAATGTTTGCCATATATGTGTACATTGTAATCCGCCCTGAGTCCCCTGCGGGGTGAGAAGGGCGGAATATAAATACTGTAAATAAATAAATTAGCAAGCTTGATTAGCATTGAGTAGCTTTGAAGCTGCAAAGTAAATTAGTGAGGGTATTTGCATAAGGGTAGCCTGGTTGTTGTTGCCTGGAGGCATCCTCTCTTTGCGAGACAACTTTGCAGATGCAAGGCTACTCAATGTTAATCAAGCTGGCTAATTGCAACATTCACACTTGCTTCAATCAGACAAGGGTTCTTTCTCCCACCCCAAATATTCCACAGATATATATTTATACACACTCCACTTGCCTCCAACAGACCTCTGAAGATACCAGCTACAGATGCAGGTCAAACATCAGGAGAGAATGCTACAGGAACATGGTCATACAGCCTGAAAAACTCACAGCAACCCAAAATTTATTTATTTACTTACTTTACTTATATACCGCTCTTCTCAGCCCGAAGGTGACTCACAGCGGTTCACAACAAATAAGAACAACAAAAATTCAATGCTACATGTAAAAACAGTTAACAACCTAATATATTACATAATTAATAAACAATTACTACAATAACCATTCACTATTCATATCTTGTAGATTTGGATATCATAGGGAAGGGTTAACACCCTTGTGGTGTTTGTTTTGCTGTCTGTGCCCCTGTTCAAAAGATTTTGCCCCATTTTCTGTCCCTGTGAGAATTGGAGTCTGAAACATTGGACTTGTTGTGGAAACAAGGATTGGTGATAAAGCTTCAGTGGAGACACCTTTCCCCCACAACAATAACTCTCTCAGGAGTGAATTTCCCTTCCTAAAGGTAGATTTCTCTCACTCCCTGTAGTCTCACCCCAGTTCTTAACTAGGAGTCTGTCACAGGATTTGTTAGTTGTGAAGTGATTCATAATTTCCAAATCACAACCTCCCTGAACCACTGCAAGCTGGATAGCAAGGGTCTCAAAAGCAAACACAAATATACAGCAGAGTCCCTTCACAGCATAAACATGTGCTTCATCCTGTCTGTCAGCAGAGTCCATCTGCCAGTGTTTGACCTTATCTAGACACGCTGTTTAGTAAACTCACGGGTTCAGGTTTTCATCCAAAATATCCAGAGGCTTTAATCTTAACAGGTGCAATATATACAAATATACAATCAGGATACGCAGACTCACTTTCCTTGTCTTGTCCTTGCAAACAATTGGAGTCATCAAATAGTCACATACAGAGCACAGGCAGATACTCACGACTGAGTCACACAGGAGAGAGAAAGATGGATTCTTTCATCTTCCTTATATAGCTACTCGCTGATAGTTCCTCAGTAAGGGACACTGGCTGATGCAAGCCTTTTGCAATCTATCTTGCCTCACATGGCGACTCAGTCATTATCATGAAATTCACAATCATACCCAGAGGCACCACCATTCAAGACAGAGCTGGAAAGCATCCAGAGAAGGGAAACCCAAATGGCCAAAGGTCTAGAAGCCATGAAGAATGGTTAAAGGAGTTGGGTGAGTTTATCTTGGAGGAGAGAAGGTTGAAAGGGACATGAAAGCCATGTTTTAATATTCGAAAAGATATCTCATTGTGTGCGTTTGCATCTGGGGGGCTATAACTCTTAGTGAAAGAGGCATGGACGTGACATCTTTCCCACAGGGGATTGCTTCTTGCCCTCCTTTAGGGAAACTGGAACTCTCAAAGACCCAAACATTATAGATAAATCAAAATAAGTTTTATTGTTCACAAAGAGTTATCTCTTTAAGGCAATAAGCTGGAAATTTCAAAGGGGTGAAGGAAAACATACATTACAGTCTCTGGTTGTCTTGGGTCCAAGGAGTTTTGCAGCTGAGAAGCTTTTCCAGGTCCCTCTTTCTCAATGGCTGTGAATGCTGGAGCAATCCACAACCCCAGTCCAAATGGCCTATGTATGAAGACACAAAGTCTTCCTCGGGTGCCAAAATAACTGGTTTGAAGGTGCTTGAGACTTCCCAACATTGTTCAGGTTGATCTGAACACGAAGCATAAGTCTCAAGGGTAAGAACCTCAGAATTGGTGCTGAGAGGTAACTTAATCAGGGGCTTTTAGAGCCAAGTCTCTTACTCACGTCCATCTGATAGAAACTCTGATGGTGGAATGAAAAAGGGAAGCACTCCCCTCCTCCAGGAAGAGGTGGAGCCAAACAATTGAGCTGAGGAAGCAATATAAGTGGTGCAAACAACATTGATTGACAGCTATAAATAACCAATCAATCCAACTATACATAGGCAGGGTAAAGAGGCAGGACTAAGCATGATATAACAGTTTAAATCTTGCAACTAACTGTCATACATATAGGTGGCGCCACTCGTGCCGTCACACATTGAGAAGGGGGCAAGTTTGCTTTCTGTTGCTCCAGAGACTAGGATACAATGGAGCCATGAATTCATATTACAGGAAAAGCAATTCCACCTAAACATTGGGAAGAAGTTCCTAACAATAAGAGCTGTTTGAGAGTGTGATACACTGCTGCCTGGGTGTCCGGTGGAGTTTTCCTTCTCTAGAGGTTTTTAAGCAGAGGCTGAGTGGCCATCTATTAGAAGGGCTTGTATTGTGTCTTCCTGACTGGCAGGAGTTTGGACTGGATGGACTTTGTTGTCTCTTCCAATTCTATGATTGTATAAAACTTGAGTTTCCAGAGTGGAGTTGGGCAAGTGATTCTATCTCTTTAAGGGCTGCGTAAAAGAAGGAATTTCAGCAGGTGTTGCCTCTTCTTACCTGGCTGAGTGACAAGTCTTATGAGAATGGCTGAGGGAGCTGGATGTGTTTATCTGAGAGAAGACTAATATATAATAGATTATAGAGTCATACAGTTAGAGGAGATCCCCAGGGCCGTTCAGTCCAAACCTCCAGCTATGCAGAAATACACAGCTCTGAAAGATGCCCAAAGAACTGTCATAAAATCATAACACTGGAAGGGACTCCCAGGGCCATCCAGTCCAATCCCATTCTGCCAGGCAGGAAGACACAATTCAAGCCCTCCCAACAGATTGTCATTCAGCCTTCTGTCAGGACCTCCAGGGAAAGAGATTCCACTAGACTCCCAGTTAGTATATTCCATTGTTGAACAACACTTGCTGTCAGAAAGATTTTCCTAAGGTTAAAGTGGAATTTCTTCTCTTGCAGTTTGAATCCATTGCTCTGTGTTGTTGTCTCTGGGGCAGCAGAAAACAAGCTGGCTCCATCTTCAGTATAAGCTCCATTCAAATATGTAAACAATGCTCTTCTGTCCCTTTCTCTCAGCCTTTTCTCCAAATGAAACATACCCAGCTCCTTAAGCCATTCCTGGTTACCAGACCTTTGATCATTTTGGTTTCCCTTCTCTGGACACCTTCCAGCATATCCTTGACAGATTAGAGAGATGATTGGCCAAAACTATCAAAATGAAGTTCAATGGAAACAAATGTAAGATACTCCACTTAGGCAGAAAAAACGAAATGCAAAGATACAGAATGGGGGACGCATGGCTCGAGAGCAGTATGTGTGAAAAAGATCTTGGAGTCCTCGTGGACAACAAGTTAAACATGAGCCAACAATGTGATGTAGTGGCAAAAAAATCCAATGGGATTTTAGCCTGCATTAATAGGAGTCTAGTGTCTAGATCTAGGGAAGTCATGCTACCCTCTATTCTGCCTTGGTTAGACCACATCTGGAATACTGTGTCCAATTCTGGGCACCACAATTGAAGAGAGATATTGAGAAGCTGGAATGTGTCCAGAGGAAAGTGACTAAAATGATAAAGGGTCTGGAGAACAAGCCCTATGAGGAATGGCTTAAGGAGCTGGGCATGTTTAGCCTGAAGAAGAGAAGGATGAGAGGAGATATGATAGCCATGTATAAATATGTGAGAGGAAGCCATAGGAAGGGGGGAGCAAGCTTGTTTTCTGCTGCCCTGGAGACTAGGACGCGGAACAATGGCTTCAAACTACAAGAAAGGCGATTCCATCTGAACATGAGGAAGAACTTCCTCACTGTGAGAGCTGTTCAGCAGTGGAACTCTCTGCCCCAGAGTATGGTGGAGGCTCCTTCTTTGGAAGCTTTTAAACAGGGGCTGGATGGCCATCTGTCAGGGGTGATTTGAATGCAATATTCCTGCTTCTTGGCAGAATGGGGTTGGTCTGGATGGCCCATGAGGTCTATCCTTCCTGAATTGTGATGCCCAGAACTGAACTTGAATATCTGAAAGGATGATTTATAGAAA